AAGATGGAAAAAAGACACATCTATCTCACCACAGTCCTGTGGAAGGCCTATGTATTCTCTATGGGACCCATATGAGCTTTGAAATAATTCTCATGCACTGTGCTTTACTGATTTGATAACTTAAAGCTATGTTTTAGTGAAGTCTGATAATAGACTCTGGTTGTCCAAAAAATAAACCTTGGAAAGAATCTTATTCTCATGATCCTAATACTCAAAGGATGGAGTTTGCACACTGAGACTTGCTCTTACACAATCTTATTAAATGTTCCCACTAGATAGAGTTGGATGTCCTATAAAATGAATTCATCTCACACTAAGTTTATTTGGATGCCACCATGTGGGAGGACATTATTTTAAGGTATGTGACTTTTGTTTATACTGCATTTGGTTGACTCTGTGAAGCAGTGATTCTTTGCCTATCTAAAACACCTGATGGTTTAATAAAGAGCTGAATGGTCAATAGTGATTCAGGAACAAGGATAGGCAGGGCTGGTAGACAGAGAGAATAAATAGGAAAAACAAGGAGGATGAGGAGGAGAAGAAGCAAGAGAACAAGGAGAGAAGGATGTCAGGTGCTAGCCACTCAGCAACTCAGCTACACAGCCAGCCATGGAGTAAGAAGGAAAATAAGAAATATAGAAGCATGAAAAGATAAAAGTCTAGAAGAAAAGGTAGATGAGTTAATTAAGTTAAGAAAAGCTGGCTAGCAACAAGCCAAGCCAAGGCCAGGCATTCATAACTTATGATAAGACTCAGTGTATGATTTATTTGGGAGCTGTGTGGTGGGCCCCTAAAAGACAAAAAAAAAAGCCAAAAGAGTAAAACATTTAACACTACACTGTTAGGAAAGAGAGAGGGATCCTTTGAAATAATGGGATGTCCAAGAATGTTGCATATTAACAGTTTCTTTAAACACTCTCATCAGAGGATACATTTTTCTTTGAATTTCATTGACAAATACTAATTGTACAAATTATTACATATGGTACATACTTATAATTCTTTGGTCATATGCACACCTCTCCTTTACCCTTTTATATCCCCTCTTTTCCTTCCTCTTTTCTCCTTCCATATCCCTAACAGACTGAACAGTTCTCAATTCACAAAGATTATATATTATCTAAGAAAAAAATCTCCTGAGACCATAATTGCTGCATAAGAACAAAAAAAGTTCTTTATAAAGATGGCCTCTATTAGGAAAGTATGGGAAAGGGATGGTAGAGAGGGGATTAGAGATTTAACAATTGGAAAGAATAAAAGTTAACCACACTTCACCTTCTGTTCTCACTGCAAGTTTTCAGCCCCAAATGTGAGCTGGGTCCAAGGAAACACATCTAGAATTTTATGCTATTTGGACTACACATGCGTTTGTGATTTGAATGCGCTGCAGCACATTTAAAAGCCTTACAATGTACTAAAATATGCTGAGAATTTCTTGGCTATGCTCTTATCTAATCATGACAGAAGTGTGGACATTTCAAAACAGTGCATCACAACAGAAAACTTTAGATGGAAATAACAAATTATCTAGTAGGAGTACAGAATGCACTGAGCTCAGCCACCCAGGATGAGATTAGAAATCAACGTAATTTTCTTTTCACATTTATCAGGCAACTGCTTCTTGTTTGACTTAGGGAAATGTGCCTCAATCACTGTGAAAATTTTAAGGATCATATGAGAAGCATTTCTGCCTTAGTCATAAATGCTCGACATATACATATATATATATATATACATATATATATATATATATATATATATATATATATATATATCATGTATATTTTACTTTAGAAAGTTTTTTTATTTTCAACAAAAGGTCTTATTCCCAATTTTAGTTCAAATGCTAGATCAATGATGGCATAAATGTTATGGGAGTAGTCACTCACTCATTTATTTGGTTTAAGGGGTACTTCATGAGACACTGATACTGCTAAAAGGGCAGAGAACTTGAGACTAGATAGATCATGAGCATAGGGGGAAACCTAATACTATAATTCTGCTAAAGGAATATAGCAATAAAATATTTCTTAAGGATATATCTTTATACCTCTAGGTTAGTGCTTTGTTCAAGTGCTTATCTTTGAAGCTTCTTCCTATAGTAAATGGAAATTAACACAGAGACCCACAGCTGAACAACGTGTAGAGACTGAAAAATGTTGAGACATTCAATTCTACATTGAATGTATTCATCAAACCCCTATGCTCAAGACTCAGGGATCTATGTAGAAAAGGAGGCTGAAAATTCTAAGAACCAAGGAAACAGCATCTTCCAGACAGAGCAGGGCTGATGTACACATAAGCTCTCAGAGACTGTGGCAGCAATGCTTAGGAACTGAACAAGTTTAAGCCAGGTGGATCCCAGTACTGAGAGGACCATGTGGTTGTGGAGTTCCATGTTTAACCAAACAAATATATGCAATTGATATCCACTAGACCAATTTCACCCATGGAGTGTCACTGGGTATTTAAACCACATTCCAGGGCAGCTCCATGCCCAGAAGTAGTTGCCCAATACAAAAAGAATTTCATATTTATTTATTTATTTATTTATTTATTTATTTATTTGTTGTAGGCATTTGTTTATTTTTGTTTGGCATTTTTATTTTGTCTTATTGGTTTGTGATGTTTTGATTTTCTTTTTTGTGTATGAAGTTGGGTTGATAGGAAGGTGGGGAGGAATTGCGGGGAGTTGGGGAAGGGCACAATATGATCAAAATATTCTGTTTGAGAAACATTTATATAAAAAGAAAAGATCAAACAAAGAAATCAGAATTGTTTCCAAAGTTTTATTCCTCTTTGAACCCTACTCTCTTCTGTATGTAGACACAGGTTTACATGCTGATTTTTATTAACAATATACCTTTGATCTCCCTGTAGATTTCCATTTAGTTAGAGTTAATAATAAAATGAAGTACATCCAGAATTCTGTACTTTGTCTCATCTGTGACACAGGGAAACTGAGGCCCTATAGAGGTCTATAGATTCAGAAGACTAGAGAATAACTATTTAAAAGAAATAGAGAAAATATTTTTCTTTAAACTTTTTTTCTTGCTGTTGGACAGAAGACAAATATCTGGAATTATTGTAGTATTCACCCCAGATTAACCTAGAATCCTTTAGAATATTGTTATATTCAATAAGGTTACATACAATCTCAATTTGCTGAGTATTTGAATGTCACTACTGAGAAGTCCCACTGGTATTATAATAATATGATTATGCAAATATACATTTGAGAAAAAAATGAAAGGAAGAAACAAGAAATTGTATACCAGATAAATAATTTTTAAGCCTTTCCTTAATTTGCATTACTTGTGTAAGAGTTGGGAAGTTTCCTTTTTAATGATGAAAACTGGAGGCAGGATAGTGATAGGGTGTATTGCTACGCTTTCACTCCTTTCTGGAGGATGCATGAAAAACACACACATTTTGGCTGCCCTTGGATTCAGTGTTATCAAATACTCTACTCTGTAAACTAGATTGGATTCATCAAATTCTCAAGTAAACTTGTTTCTTTGATACAACAATATACTATGGTATTCACTATTGGATCTGTGACACTTCAGACTAAGTGTTGCAATGCTTTCATGTCAATTCTACAACAAAATTTGACAGTGTTTCACACCTCCTTGATAATGAAAGCATTTTAAAGACAAACACAAATAAATGAGAAACAAATACTGTGGACTGTATACCTTTTCCCCTTGTTTCTTTCATTTTTGAACAGTTGGTGTATGGTAGATGACAGACTCTGGATCCTCGACACAAGAAGCTCCCCAAAGGATCTCATTTTGGCAATACTAATAATCAATTCAGGATTATTGAGTCTAGTCTTTTTTATTCCGTGAAGAAGCATTGTGGTAGTTTTATTGGTACTATTTCATTTTATCATGATGCATAACGTGATGTTTCTAACACATTTCACTGTACTCTGGCCAACAATTCTGCAGCAGAGGGCATGAGCCATAGTGTTTTGGTTTACACTATAATAATTTACATTCTTTTTCAAATGTATAATTTTGTCAAGTGGTATATTTCTAATGATTTGTACTGAGCTGGGACTAATAAACTCACTACAATAATACACAAGCCACCACACATTAATTTCAATGGACACAAATGTGCTTCACTAACATATTTATGTCATGTATGAAGGGTCTTCCTGGTCCTATGGATGTGTCTATTAACCTGAAAGACATCATTGTCCATCTCCACTCCTACCGAGTACCAAGTTAGGTTACTAGGACACAAAGAACCTAAGCTCTCTTTGAGGTCTTCCTCAACTCTGTTTCCTCTTTCAATACACCATTAATATATTAGCTGGGAGCTATCACACCAGTATCCCCATTGCTGCTATTTTAGGAACTTATGTTTTGTTCTAGTGACTGAAATAAGTTTTGTTTTTCTTTTTATGACTTTTCCAACTCTTTGTTTCACTGTTCTCAGCTGAGTATGCATGCCTTTATATATTTCCTAATATCCTCAGTGAAAAAGAACTTCAGAATAGTTTTTAAATTTTTATATCTATGTTTTATGTTTTCCAAACTACATTATATAATTATCAGTATGTTTTATATTCAGCATATGTAAGTAGAATCTTTTAAGTATGAAAACCCATCTAAATCTCTATACATCAAAATGTAAAGCCTTCTTATAAATGGGATTCTATAAATACTGATGAATCACAAACTTGACAAATTTATTAAATTTCTAAACTGACATATACTCTGTGTATATTTTATGTTTTATATAACACTTTATTAATTATGTTTTACTGATAACATATAAGTTCATGTCAATACATTATTGTAAGTATGTTGTAAATTTCTTTCATGCAAATAAAATATCATTAGGATTTAAGATTTTTAGACTCTAGTTCTGTCTATATATATGATTTTATAATATTTTCTCAATATCTGTCATATAAAGTCAATATCTGAGGAAATATTTTTTAAATTAAACATGACAGTATTTGCTTCCCCTGAAGATAAACTTACCTCTCACAATGATGTTGGTGGACTTTTTTGCAGGGTTTCCCACATTATTATTGGCAATGCAGCTGTAAGTACCGGCGTCATCTGAGGTGATGGCAGGTATGGTCAATGTCCCTCCATTCAAAACAATCTTTTCAGGCAGAGTCCCAAAGGATCTGACCCAGGTGAGAGAGGGCGTAGGCTCTCCTCCTGTTGTAACACACACTAATGTTATGGCCTCTCCAGGATTCACAACTATGGGATCATCCACCAAAAGCTTAATTGATGGAGATGCTAAAAGACATAAACAGAAGACAGACATTCAGTGAGATATTCTGCAATTGGGAATCAACATCAGGTTCTATACTTAATCATTTGAGCAATTACAATTACTGTTCTTTTTATCAAGAGCAGAATGTGTTACTCAAACTTTAGGCATAATACTTCCGACCTTCACTTAAGCAATATAAATGTATGGATCATTGTTAAATGTTTTACACTTGATGTGGTATTTTCAGGCTATTGCCTCAGAAGTGAGAGTTTCATTCATGGAACTATCTCCATATTTAGGAAATTAACCAAACCTATCAGTTTCAGAAAACTCATGAAACTCACAAGAATCTCGAAGCTTCTCTTGAAGCTTCACAGGATACCTTCCCGATCTCTGGGAGGAGAGGAGACTCTCTTCATTTACTGCCTGGAATGTGTGCAGAAACCTCTATCAATTCAGCCTTCACCAGTAGTCCCCATCCTGGGTCTGGCTCTCAGTCGTGCAGCTGTTTGTATATCACCTGTGTCTCTGTAAGTCACCCCAGAAAATGCATGGCTTCTTAGCTAGACTTGTATTTCTATGGGCTGTTGTCGGTGCTCTAACTGTGATGCATAGTCATATGTTTATGGCAACCTAGGAAAAGTCCCACAATAATATGCAAATATTCACTTCCCTTAATTATTGTTCTGATGCTAGAATAGCCAAAGTCACTAAAGTTGCAAGACACAGACAGCATCCATATCTCCTTAGTGGTATGCTACTTTTTCTCTCTTTCTCGTATAGTTGTTGGGTCTTTGGGTTTTCATTATGTGGATGGTCAATTCTTTCAGTTTTAGATCAATCATCACAGATTTATTACACTGCAAGCCCTAACAGCTCTTCTTCAGGTGTAGATTCACAGCCTGTGTTCATATGTATTCAAAGTGTGTGACCAAGGAGGTCCCCTTTGTCAGGAAGGTTTAAGTTGTAAGTTCTCACAAATACAGCTTTGGAATTCAGAAAGAAACAATCACAAATGCCTCACCAGAAATACTGAAACTACCACTTCTTTTATGGTTTCATTGTAAAATTCCTGCAGTGAAAAATAAGTCTTTTAAATTCCTCAAGCTAAAAATAGAAAGATGAACATTCATTCAATTAGAAACAAACACCTTTAAACCAAACACTCAAAATAGAAGCTATATAGAGAACATAAAACATTACATTCATACAAGGCATATCCTATTTATAGCACAGTGTAAGAAATAGAAGTAGGAATATATATGTAAAGAGAGATTTATATTGTTAAATGTTATTGTATTAACCTAAAAATTATTAAGCTCAGCTTCGAAATGCAGTTTAGAATTAAAAATCATTAGGTTTTGTGTTTTAATAAAATCCATCTTGACTTAAAAAGAAAGCAAGAGGAAAATAGGGCAATAACTCCATGCTAAGGATGCAGGAGAGAGACAGGGAGTCTCTATGGCATTTTCAACATCCTTGTTGCCTCCTGGTTCTTGTAACATCATTAAAATATCATGGGAATTTTCAAAATGTCACAACATCAGCTCCTCTGATGTGCTGACATTAAAGTATAAAGATTTATTATTAAAAAGATGTTGGGAAATACACAAAGTAAAGGTGATATGCAAAAGTCACCACAGTTGGGGAGAAAACAAAGTGTATCAAAGAATTATTAAATATTAAACTAATGAATGGAAGACATCATTAATTAAAGCTTCTAAATATGTATTGTACTTAATTATTAATATATCATTATCAAGAGGCAAAGGGAATACTTACTGAGGTAAATAGCCTAAACCTATAATATTTAATTAAAATAAAATTATAGAAATCCTAGCATTTATTTCATATTAACAATGTTGAATGTGTTTAATATCACATTTAAGTTAAACTAAAAGAAACCAGGTCAAAGTTTACTAAGTTATGACTACAGAAACACTGAATATACATTAAATAGAATATTTGCCTATAGGAGGGCTAACATTTCCGAAGCCTTACCAATATTCAAATGTATTTGTTATATAAATCTCAAGAAAATCACAGAGTGGAACTATTGACATGTATGCATTAGCATATAACATTGAGTGAGTTATCTTTTTTTAATTATAAAGCCCTGTTTAAGAATTATGTTTAAAATCTTAGAACATATATCAAATCTCAAAGAGAGGGAAACCATAACATAGAAAATCATTTAATATAGGAAAATTAATATTTTACTGTCAGTTTTTAAAGACTTTGAGATGGACTGGCTCATTTGTTAATTAGGGGGTGAGGTTCTGCCTTTCATATTTCTGTTACATGGGATCGGACTATTTAACCCAGGAATTAACTATCTCATTGCAAAGCCAAAGGGGCATTGAACTCATTATCTTCAAAGTCTTACCTTCCTGAGGTCTGGGATTACAGGCATTATCACTATACCTGACATTAGTTTCAAAAATAACATGTTAATATGTATGCATATAGGGTGTGTGTGTGTGTGTGTGTGTGTGTGTGTGTGTGTGTGTGTGTATGTGATTTGTAGGTCAATATATGTGTGTATGGCCAATGACACTGATAAAAAACCCAGAGGACAACTTGAGGGAATTATATCTCTCCTTTCACCAAGTGGGACCTGAGGATTGAACTCAGTTAGTCAGTTTGGTGGCAAGTGATTTTCCTTGCTGAACTATGCCTCTAGCCCTAGTTTTTCATTTCTTTATCTTTTATTCTACCTTTTGTGGCTGGGGTACACATGGCTCTAGAGACTGAACTAATTGGGGCAATGGGGCATGAAAAAACAAGAGACAAACGCACAGAAGAGCTAAATTGAATGAGTTGTGCTTTCCAATGGAGATACATCAGTGGTAGCCCAGAAACCCAGCATGTTTGTTATACACAACATGCAAGAAGAGAAGGCCAGGCTGTCATCCAGTGGGAGAAAATTGTGATTGATAGCTTTAGCATTCAGTGGATTTAACTAAAGGTCAAACGTTTTTAATCAACACCCATACTTATACCAGGTAAAGGCTTTGCTATTTTTCTAAGCCAGACCTCGGGGAGGATTTTCCATTCCAATGGGTCTGGCACTGGGTTCCTTGATATGGCTGTGCTCATCTCAACAATACACATCCAGTCAAAACTTCATTAGCTCCCTACATGCTGCATACTTTTTCCAAAATTACAAATGAAGTACTTCAACCATAATTTAGTCCTACCGTTGACTTTTCTGAAGCTACACAGATACCTGACTGAACTTGAGCAAGTTCTTTCACTTCTGAGTGCCTCTTGACATTGCTAATGCAGAGGACACAACTACTTTTTGATGGATAGTATAAACATAAATATAAATTTTAAGATTTATTATAAAAGATCCACTAATTAGTGTTTTCTATTGCCATTCATTCTGTTTCCACATTGTAGGCTTAGTTGCAGTCTCCCTCATAGTGTGGGTGCTAACAGACAAAGTGTCTATAAACTATCATTGTTTTGATTACATGTGGCAGGGGTATTTTAAGATCATTTTGAGTTTTTGAAGGTCCTGTACCACAGCAAACAAAACATATTGAAGTTATTCACTTTGGGAAATATGAACTTATATTTCTCTCATTTAACAATATTGTTGCTAGTGAATCAAACTCACTCTATTTCAATACTCATTTTCATTGAACTGTTAAGATATTTCAGAGATATTTCATGCTTGTCTTGCTGACATGTGCTGTTCTTCAGCACTATCCTGTACTTGCGCCACCAAGTACCTTGAGGTCATGCATCATGAGCCTTCTCTCTTGCGTTCATGTGAGCATCCAGGAAATGAAGACAGATATATCCCACTGGACCTAACTGAGTGTTAAGTATAAATTACCATGTATATTGGCTGAGGCAACCACTAAAACACACATCCATATCTAGGCATGGAGGCAGAGACTTGTAATTGTAGCACTCAGCAGTAGAAGTAGGAGAACCAGAAGTTCAAGGTCATTTCCAGCTACACTGAGAGTTGAAGGTCAGCCTGGGCTATGAGAGACATTTACAAACTAACAATCAAAATAAAATATGTCCTCATTTGTAAAACACGGCACATATATTTCATATCTTCCTCTTAGTACATGAGACAGATTATTTTGCTTCATTTTAAAGCAATAAACAAACAGCAAATCTGAATTAGGACAAGAGGAAAAACTAAATAGGATGACATTGAATTATTCTTTGAGATGTAGATAGAAGTGGAAGGTGGAAGATTTTATAAAGGAAAGAAACCTGACACAGAAAGTCAGGAGCTATGTTCTCACTGGTGCAGAAGTAAGTAATTGACTTACTAGAATAAAAAAGGGATCACTAGAGGCTAGAAGCATGTGGAAGATAGTTGAATAGTATGTCCCTAAATACAACTGGATGAGGGTCCAAAAGCACAGTGGGATGACAGCACCTAAAACATATCCATAGCAATTTGTTATATAATTTTACAGGACCTAGATAGAGAAAACTGATGCTTCCCAACACAAACAATATAATCAGTGTTTAAGAAGAGAGAAATAATAATTACCTTGATTTAATAATCACACATTGTAAAATGTATAGAATTATATCCACATACAACAAATATGTATTATTATTCCTATGTTTCAAATCAAAAACAACTTGAAGCATAAGCAAATGAAATACTACAAATAAAGTCAAACATTTTGATTATCAAATGAAGCCAATAACCTTGTCTGTGAAAGAAACATATTCTGAGTCTTAGGGCACACTGACCCATGGCACCTCAAAGACAGGAAAATAACCTGTACAACAGACACCCCACCTCAAGGATCAGGAAGATGTTATTTATTACAACATAAAGGCTCATTTTGTTCCCTTACATTCCTCTATCTACAGTTCTTTGTTCTCCCTGGTGATCTCAGAGCAAAACCTTCTATTCCTTATAAACAGGTCTTAAATGACTTTAGAAAGGTCTTTCCATGTAGCTCCCACTAAGCCGGCTGGATCTTTAGAGCTTCTCATGTACTCGCTGGGTTCCCCAAGCTCCTATGTTGACAAT